CATAGCTGTTTACACGGTCTTGCCTGAAAACACATTACGTTCATTTTATCATTTAATCACCATCATTATTCCCAGTGAAAAGTCACATTGTGAAAAACACGAAAAATAAATATAAATCGTAACGATAAACGCTTTCAGTTCCCACAAACCGGTATTGCAAATTCGATTCTGATTTGAAAGCCGCGCAGCGACGCGCCTTGTAAATTTGTTTTCGCCGCCTTGGCCTCTTCAACGCGTCCGAACAAAACGAAAGCGAAGGTGCGTGGGGAATAGGAAATGAGTGCGTCGAGAGAACCGTACGGAGCGAATAGTTCCATGAGATCGGAATCGGCGACATCCGGCGGCAGATTTCCAACCCATAGGTTGTTTGTTGGAGTTCCCCACTCCTCGCTTTCCACGGATTTTGTAGGAGGCGCCATTGTAATTCGAAAACTGCAACAATGGAGAAGTAGGTTTTGCTTCAAGGCGGGGAAAAATCCCCAAATGTAGTTTATTATCGCAAAGAGCGTTTCAAACCCTACGAATGAAAGACAGAGAATTTTGATTTTGTTTCCACTCCTCGCATGGACCCACCTCGCCGCATGAAATTCTTAAGCTAAATTATACAAACTCTCTTATCCGCATTAATTATTTAACTTTCGAAAAAATTAATTTGATGCTTTATTTTTATTTAAAACCGATTTAAAATGGTGATTATGTGAGTTTAATCTTAAGTTCAATAACTTTCCAAGTTTATCACTTCATCTTTGTCTCTGTCACTTTTTTTTTTTCTTTCTATACTCATCAGATGCACTTCCAACATTAAAATTACCTTCAACGACAAAAACAAAAAACCTATGTTTCAATCATGAATTTGTTCTTGTTTTGGCAAGAAGGAAGAGGTTAACCTGGGTCCACATTTAAAGAACAACGACAGATTGAAATAATGAGGAAAGCAAAATAAATTAAACACTTTTGACAGCATAAATATTAGACAGTTTGGGGTTTGTTAAGCAATTTTTAAAATATAAAGGAACAATTTTTAGGATATTTTCAATTATATTTTATTAATTATTTGCATTGACTATTTAAGACTTTTATATTTTGTATTGAATTTTTAATGTTTTTAATTATGATTATCATTTTATTTTTATTTCTTTACTATTTTAGTTGTTTTAACGTGTTAATAAATATGAGATATGATTGATATAAAATCATACACGCAAGTAATTTTTATTATTTTTGTTAAAAACACTTATACATATATATATTATTATATAAATGTAATTAATATTTTTTGTATTCATATTTTTTTCAATTGTATACTTAATAAATAATTATTTTTTAAATTAAAATAATTATCCTACTAATTTTATTTTGTAAGTAATCGTTTTTTATTCAATTGTTTTTTATTTAACTTTTCTTTTAAATTAATATTTTTTAAACTAAAAAAGTATCTAAAATAAAATAATATCTACAAAATAAATAAAAAAATTATGTACAATAAATTAAAAATATTATTTATATTTACTTTTATAATTAAAATAGAGATTTACCTTTTTCATGTATATATATTTTATTTTCAATTTTATTGTTTAAGTAAATGTTATTTTAAACTAAAATAATTACATTTTTATTTTTTCTATTTAAATGATTGTTAATTTAAATTTAGTTGTTTTTAAATTAAAATAGTTATTTTATCATTTTATTCTACTAAATCACTGTGTTTAAATTTAGTTATTTTTTAATTAAATTAATGACCTCAGGGAAATTGTTAAATAACAGAAAGAGTTAACTGTGTTTTTAGTCATTTAAATTACATGTGAAATAATTGAACATGATAGGAAGGAAAAAACAATTTTGCAGATAATTTTAGAAGTTAATTTCTTATTTTCTTTAGCACTATGTTTATTTGTTAAAAAATTAATATGAGGCCTTCACTGCAAGGAGTAGTGAGGGAGCATAAGTATCCGTAGTACATACTTGTTGATTGCATTTAGAATAATAATGAAAATTATAAAACGATGAATCACATTCTCAAGGATTTAACAACATTATTCACAAGTCTATATAATAAATACACATAATATTTAGATAAAGTACAAAAATAAAGAACAACTTCTGAAAGCCAAAATTTATATATGACTAATGTGAATATTCAAAATCATTTCCAATACAATCATCAATTGTATTATCTAACTAACAATTTATGATTGCTCATCCCATAAATACCTCCAGATAAAAATAAGTACCACAAAATTTTGTAGTATAACAATTTTCTATTAATATTAGATGAAATAGTGAGTTAAATAATAATGATAAGTTATCTTCATACCAATAATAGAGTGAGGTCAAGAGTTAGTTAAGTGATTAGTATTTGATTAGCTTTATATTTAATGCACTTACAATGATAAAATTGAGAGATAATTAAAGTGTAAATGTTTCACTAGATAACATGTATTCGGAAACGTTGTTTTTCATAGTAAAAACATAAAAGAATATATTTTGTAAAACTTAAAAAATGATATTTTAAGAGTAGCAGTGGTTTTAAAATACTAAGACTTCATTGTTTTAATATTAAATGACTTTAATATAAATGGTTTCGTTATCAACAAGATTCATAATTTAAAAATACACAATTTCTTTAAAAATCATTTTTCTAGAGTTATCTGACTTCTGTTTAGGAGTTCACATCATGTGTTCGTCTAATTGAAAACTAAGACATTAGGATTGATCGTGACAACAAGCCCTTCAATTTGCACTGATTAGTTTCTCAGATAGAGTGAATTCATTTTCTGTTCATCTTTTTTTCTTTCTTTGTATGTAAGTATGTTGTGAATGCATATGACATTTGAGTATTCTATATGACTATGTGCTAATCAATTGTTCTAATGATATACTCTAATCGTGTTTCTATGAATTGTTGGAGCAAATAAGACTTCATGTGATTGCGGAGTTGTTTTAGGCTTTCTATAGCGGTTTGGTTTTTTATAAGGTAAGGGAAGCTAAATACAATTATTCTCAAGTTTTAATATGATTAGAATTGTGAGTGCATGTTTGATGGTTTGTGATTGATTGAAATTATTGTTTTAATTTATTGAAGCACTATTAAAATATGTTTTTAGTTTATGATAGTGTGTTGCTTGACACGTTTGTTTTGGTCTATAATTAGTAATATGTTGTATGGATTTTTATTTTTTTGGAATTGATGGTTGAAAGTAAGCCTATGTTTGTTTGTTTGGAATTGATGAAATTGGAATTTTGGTTAGTTGAATATAGTGTTGAAATTTTGTTGGAGAAATATGAAGGTGTGATGTTAGAAATTGTCTAAAATTGGGATTATGGCAAGTGAAATTCTATAGGGATTGTTGAACTTTATGTAGTGCTTAGAGTTTGTACAATTTAAGATTTAGGTAGCTACTTGTATTGCTGGAATTGGTCATTTTGGTATGTTGAGTTGTTGTTGTGTTTGTTGTATAAAGTACGCTTGGTTTGATTGAAATTGATGTTGAATGGGAAGAATCAAGGAACTGATAATCTGATTGAATTGGTATTCAATCTGACACCCAAACCTGTTTTAGAACCCTTCACTAAGTCAGAAATACCAAATTTGTCATTTGAATAGGTATTTGGTTACCCAAAAGCATTTAGATGAAATTTTGTTTTCTGATATGGTGTTGAGGGCCATTGATATGTTGCTGAGCACTGGCCTCCAGTGGCACTTGGTCTTGGCCTCTTTACGCAGGACGTTGAGCGGTGGTCTTATACTGTTGAGCGCTCCCTATTGTGAGTTGTGTACTTGTGTTTATGTGTTCTCTATATTCTGAACTGTTTTGGATTTTTTAGTGATATTGATTTAATGTATGTTTAAATGGAAATGTTAATGTTTATGGATTTTAAATATTAATGTAAGTGTATTGTTAAAGTATGATGGTAAACATGTATGGTGCTCATTCATGTATGATATTATGATGATGATGAATATGATACATGTGTTTGATGTAGTTCCATGAATGGAGAGATTCTATGGTGGCAGTGTAATGTAGTGATGTAGGATGCCTTGAAATAAGAGATGATTCTAACACTCTTAAGGATGAGGCATGTGGTGAAGAGTAACAAGAGTTCCTTAATTTAGTTATTGTTTCTTAACCATAAATGTTTGACGATTAACCTTAGTGTGTAGTAATTTAATGGTGTGGTAGCTTGATGTGGGCGGTTTCGCCACATACGGATAAAGGTCTCCCAAGAATTCGACATTAATACATATATCCAAATGATTGAATCTAGAAATGGATACATCTACACGTGTTTCCATTAATCACAATATAACAAAATATAGTAACATTTAGATAAAATAATATATAATATAAAAACTGAAAAAAATATATGTAATTACGTTTAAAGATATCAAATGAATTTTGATATAGCTTTAAACAACTTAAGAAAGGAAGTATAATCTAAGGAAATCCAACAAACAACTATAAGACGAATTTAATATAATAAGTAATCATGCATTAACTTGGTTAATATTTTATGGAAAAATTGATTAGTTACTAACAAAATACAAAAATAATAATAATAGAGTAACACATTTTTATATTCATTTAAGAATAAAATCATCATAAAAAATTAAATTTTTATTTTTTCTTATTAAATTTTTATATTTTTTCAAAAAAGAAAAAAATATAAAATAAAAAGAGACAATATCAAATCAATGTAAAAAATTATATATATCAAAATATCATTTTTCTTTCAATTTTCAATTTGAATAAAAAGTCGTCATCCGGTTTGAATCATCCAGTTAAACACAAAATAGAAATCTCAAATACCTTTTTTAATATAAAATGGAATCGCAGCATTGATTCAATTGAGTTTTGCATGTAATTAGCCAAGGAATCCAAATAAAATATCTTTCATAGGTCTAAATTTAAATCTCCCTTAACCTAAAAACATGCCTCAATTCAATTACACTTCACAATCGCAAAACTATTTTCTCAGGAATCAACTACACAACTCCCAAATGAACTCAGGAACAAAATTCTGAAATCATATTGAAAAGATAGCATCAAGCACACACATTATTCCAAAGATGGATTCATACCCTAACCCTATATAGAACAAGTTTCAAGACTTATACCATATACATTAAAAAAAAAAAAATCCTAAAAATTATCCTTTGTTTGCCGTATGACAGCAAGGGCTTCTGCATCATTTGCTGTGGTTGCAATGTTCAATGATTGCCTAATTGCAGCACTGGATGTACGAAGAAATGGATTACAAGCCTTTTCCATCTTCAATGTGGTGGGAATCTGAACACAAACAAACACTACTTATTAATTTGGTCCAAATTAATTAAAGTTTTGGAGTGAAAGAATTTTTAGAAAAACTAAGTTAGAAAATTTAAGTGCAACACTGAAACTTACCGTAGGCAAGCCTTTACTTCGAAGGTAAGCTACATGAGCAGCATAGGATTGAAGTTCTTTGTTTTCAGGTTCTATAGACAATGCAAACTTTGTATTCATCTGCCAACACCAAGGTAACAAAGTCAATTTCACAGCACTCAGGCTAAGAATAAAGAAAGCAAATAGCATAAGAGACAAGAGTAAGTGTAACTGACCAATGTATACTCGTGTCCACAGTATATATTTGTATCATCTGGCAGGGACATGATCTTTTTAAGAGAGGACATCATCTGCAACATGGATGACATTGTAAACAACTGAAGATGCAAACATTTATACTTTTATCAATGTACAAGTCAACTAATTGTACCATATTAAGGTGTTTGCATTCACATGTATGAGTTGCAAAAAAGGATAATGGTTATCACAGAGGCTAATGAAGGGGATAAAGCATGATCATAAAACATGTTCAGCTGGAAAAATACAAACACCAATAAAATATGAGTCTAACCATATAAGAGATTGATACCACTGTCTACCCAAAACTTTGAAAGGATTAATGAGTTTTTCACCTTTATATAGTGCTTTACTTTCTCATTTCTATTTATCCAATGTGGAACTTGGACTCATACTTGCATTTTCAACCATGACTCTTCAGACAAAGATCTCAAACCTTAAAAGGAAAAGAAAATGAACAAGTGCATTTTAACTAACCTCCTGAGGGCTTCCTTCAAACAGCTTGCCACATGACAAGCTGAACAAAGTATCTCCAGTAAAAATTGCCCCAGATCCAGGAAAATAAAAGCTTATATGGCCTACAGTATGAATCAATTAAAAACATGAGTTACACAATAGAAAACAGATAACTTTTTTACACTTTTCACCATTGAGAAGTATTAAGAATGGAAATGTGACCTCGGGTGTGACCAGGTGTGTCTATTACACGCACCTCATGGCCAGCAAACATCCACCTGTCACCATCATTCAAATAGATATCAATGCCAGGAATCCTTTCCTTGTCAGTTCCTGAACCAATCACCTGTATTGCAGCATGGAAAGTGTTAGCATCTGTACTAAGTAGTAGCTAGTAAGCATAACAAAAGTACACAGATTATTAACAGAAAGTATGATAACTCTGCATAAAATGTCATACAAAATACCTTTGCCCCATATCTCGCCTTTAATTCTACATTTCCACCAGTGTGATCATGATGATGGTGAGTGTTGAGTATGTAAGTCAAATTTCGATTTTTCCTGCTCAAGACATCTATGACAGGCACAGCTTCAGAAGGATCAACAACACCAACCGTACCAGTATCCACATCATGTAAAAGATACGCATAATTGTCCTTCAGGCAAGGTACCTAACAATTTTTTTAAACAAAATAGCATCACAAATCAGGCTTTCAGCGTATTTCTTCAGAATTATCATATTGGGTGACCAAATAATTGCAATCAAACATCACCATGTCAACTGAAAAAGACTAACAAGAAACCTTCTCTCACCAATTCAATCTGCAACGAGGAAGACATATTCACAACACTGCAAAATCGAGCCACCCTCAGCGTGCGACTTGCTCCACGCAGCGTTTTCAATGGTGTAGAAAACAATCGCATAAATCCATACAGAATGCCTTTTCTAAAGCAAATTTGTCTCACATTTGGCCACACGCACAACCCACTTCTCACCTAAGAAACACAGAATGATCAAATTCCAACACCCTCTTCGCCAAAGTATCATGAAACACACACCCACCCACTTTGGAAGATAGGTCATAATCACTTACCAAGAAGCAGAGAAACAAATAATACACATAAACACAACTAATTCCAGAATTATATTACAAAATACACCAAACTCAATTGATTCCAGATCACAGAGGATAGAGAAGGATAACACACCGAATCAAACAATCTGTTTCAGCAATCAAAAGCAAAATACCTTATTATCATTCATTGAATGCCGAAAGAAACAGGCACACAACGAGGTGCCACGAAAAATGTTTGGTTTAGTTTTTTAGACAAGAAATAAAAAACATCATCGGACGCTGTCTTTTTGTTCCTCGTTTCCTCCGAAACTCTTACAGATAAAAAAAAAAAAAACCCCAAATTTGAGGATATAATTATGTTCTGAAACAAAAATCAAAGACCCAAAAAGAAAGGAGAGAGGAGGGGAACAGAGAGAGAAATACAAACCCTGGAACAAGGAAAAGTGGCCATGGCAGATGAAGTCTTAGAGAGAATCTGCTGCATCTGTGAATGGTGTGGGGTGGTTATGGGAATGAGTTAAGAGTGTGCGTTGGCACTATTTGGTTGAAAAGGAAGTTGCTTTTCCCTCTTTCTCTTAGCGCCACCGTGTCCTCCACCACCACCCCTTCTTCATGTTCCTCATTATTCACTTTCACTCATTTTTTATTTCTGAGGTGGCAAAATATTGCTATGCCATGGCACCCTAAACACCAAGACATATAGATATTAATCAAGATTATTTGTGCATCACACCACCACACACCATTCTTAATGCATGCCACGTTGACAACTATTCTCAACTTCTCTCATCCGCTATTATCTTCCCAATTGCATTGCTTCAAACCCTTTTTCCTCTCTCTCTTGACTGTATCTGATGAACATTTTTCCTTCCTTGCAAAGGGTAAAAGAAAAATCAGTAATTTCAATAGCAGCCAAATGAAAGAAAACATGAAGTCTCATTCACCACTTTAGTTTCTGAGTTTCGTGAAATTAAAAATTGAAACTTTAATTTGTTTCTCGATTATTTATTACAGTTTCAAACCATTCTTCTAAATTTATTAATTCTAAAGACCCTCTTAACAACGAATTTCAAATTCAGAAAGTAAATGGCCATTTACTCAATAAAACTGGTTAAACTTTAGATTAGCCAAGAGTACATGAAATTAGATTTGGAGGATAAAACCATGTTTGGCAAACGTGTCACACTGCGCACCACTTATTTTTGGTAAGCGGGGTGAAGGAATAAACACATCCCTTCATTTATGCTTCGCTTCATAATAACACAAAATCCAAACAATATATGAATAAAAATAGAATGGAAATTTATCCCTTCTAATAAATTTTCAAAATAAAACATAATTAAACAAGAAAATAGAAATTTAATAAACATTTTTTGGTAGTGCATTCTAATTAAATTTAATGTTATTATTTATTAAGCATCAAATCAGAAGGCAAACAGAATATTTTCATCAGGTAATGTCTGAAATGAGAAGTCTACTCTACAGTGAGTGAGAAAGTTGACTGAATCACAAGTTTATTTGTTCTTTTACTTTTTGAGTTTCTCCATAGAATTTGTGTAAAGGACAAAGGGGTGGTGGATTGTTACGGTTCATATATTTTGCTGGAGCTGGATGGAAAATATAGGAGTGAATGAAAAAGTGAAAGAACCAAATCTGTAAAGGGTATCTGTTAACCCATATGAAACTATGTTAAAAATAGAATTTTAAATCTAATTCAAAACCTATAAAATTGGACAATAAAAAAAATTTGCATCCACTTATATCTTTTAAATTAATTTTTATCTCTAATTAATATGAAATTTCTAATTATCTCAAATTAAAGACTGTTTATGTTCGTTACAGAAGTAAATTTAAGTTATTGATGTGAGCAAGGATCCCCCAGTGAAGTTGCAGCTGTGATCCAAAAGAAATGACATAATTGTAGTCAATTTATGGTTAATGTCAATATCTGCTACAGTTGCCAGTTAGGCACCAATTGCAGCTTGGTCCTACAGTGCACAACACAATGAAAGATGGAAATAAAGATTTTCTTGCTTCAATTATGCACCAGGCAACTTGCTACAATCATAGTGCACATCTCAATATTCATTCTGTAAGACCAAGGAATATGCATATTGGAGCTAGGAAAAACTAAAATCTGACAGATTTTAGGCCCTTTCTAATGCAGCAAATACATATAATATTCACATTTTAATTACTGGTTTTCATATTCAAAGCAGCAAATTTATAATGTAAAACTCTGATAAAATGTTGAATGCCACAATTACCTGCAATATAATATATGTTAGCAAGGTATCAGAAAGAAAACATGGTTGTTTTTAAGCAACTTGATTTACAGCATGGTGCTTCATATTACCATTTTCAGAAGTTACTGAATCAGACTCTATAATTGATGTTCTTGGGAAAGGTCCTCTTTCTTTGGTGCACCATGTGGTTGTGTTGTGCATCACAGCCACTTATGAAGTCTCCCTAATGGACTTAGGCTTTCACATAACTCACAATTCTTCAGGCTTAATGTATTCCTTTCTGCTGATATCTTCTTGGTTGTACTTTAGATACATACGAAAAAGGAGGATTCTTAATGGTATGCATGTAAATTATGGGGCAAGGGACAGTGGTCCAACTCAACCTCAACTCGAGTAGACTATGAGCAACTTTTTGTCTTTAGTAGAAAAATTCATGCGTGATAGGACATCATAGTAAGAATATGGAAAACAGTAACGTATTTCGTGATGATCATAGTGATAATCAGTGCATTATTGGGATTTGGCTGTAAAATATCAAGTTTCAGAATCAGAATTCAAAAACTCATGCAATGAGTGAGCAAAACATGAATCATGGTCTCAAATTTGTGTTCACAAACATTTTCCAAAGGCAAAAATGCTGCTATTGTTCCAAATTGTGTTCTTTAACTTTTCTTCCTACCTCTTTCTCATAGATTCCATACATAATCTACTCATTCCAACAATATTCTACGCTATCTACAAGATCACTTTTGGCTTAGAAAGAAAAAAGTTACAGAATCGCAGTGTTGAAAATAATATTTATTTAACCAGCACTCTTTATTCTCTAAAACTAAATGGAAAGAACTAAAGTACAACAAATTAACCAATAAATGTGTTTGGACAAGTTTCTATATAAGATACAGTTAAAAAATGAACCAGCCTTCACCTGAAAGCTGAAATTTAAATTTTATCAGGCTTCAGTCACTTAATGCAGCTAAAATTGTGTTCCATTATACATTCCTGGTTCAGTTATGCAATTTTGATAAAATTGTGTAGTAATCCGAGAAAATACCAACCCCTTTGAGGAGGACATCTAGCCCCATATTTACGAGTAAGGAATAATAAACTGTGAATCATTAAGTAATCAGTAGTATCCAAAATACGTTGTTTTTGTTTGTGAAATAATCAGCGGGTTGTAATTGAATTTGATATTGCTGCAAGTTTAATGGATTTGCCTTATGAAAGGAATAAGTCCCACACTGAATAGTTTAACATAGAAATCAATTTATATAAACGTTTAAACTAAATTTTTTAACTACATGTTATTTTATCGAGCTTGGTAGCGCTTGCTTTTTACCCGAGTTGGGGGCATTAGAGTGGTGGAACATTGCCTTGAGTGTGGTCGGATGGTTGCGTGTAGCATATGAACCATCACTTTTTTATTGTCATGTATATTTGTGAGATGTGGATGTTATATTTTATGTATTGAAGCTTTTCCTGTTTTGATTAGGATATCTCTTTTCTCTTCCAAATTTTCAGCTAACTAAAAAATAATAATTCAAGCAGGGAAATCTACTGTTTGTTAATTAACTCATCAAAGTCGTCAGCAACAAATAACCATTCATGATTAGCAAAAAATGCTCTGAATTTTCCCATGACAAGTTCAATTCAGTTTGAACTAGAAAGTCTCTTCGATTCAGAAATCTTAATTTCAGAACACTTTGTTTTGAAAAAAAATCACACTAACAAAGGATAAAATAGCTGTTTTGAAAACCTGGGGAGTGCCACAAAGAAATTATGGAAATGCAGGAAGTCAAAGCCTTATAACTATTGCGTACAAAGTTGGGTGATTCTGACGTTGTTTCCGAGAAAGTTGGGTGAAATCAGCCCAAGAAACTTTCAATTTCCCATGTTCTTATTCTTTTAAAAAATTCCGATGCATGCATTTTTATCATCTTTGACTTTCACCTTCTCCAAATCATATAATATAAGCAAAGTTTATTTTACGAAATTATGCTTTATTTGTCCACGACTTTGTCCTGCATTGCACATTTGAATTACGAAATTATGCTTTATTTGTCCACGACTTTGTCCTGCATTGCACATTTGAACACTTCCTGCAGCCAATAGCATCCTTCTCTTTGTACAAGTTTGCAGTATGTTCCGGTTTGATGAGTTGATGCAGTATTTTTAGGGGTAAACAATGCTACCTCAGAAGTCTCAAGTTATGGCATATTCAATATACATTCCAACCCGTTCAAAGAGAAAAATTCCAAAGGGACAAATATAGAACTTAAAAGGGAGATTTTTATTTGTCATGATGCTGCCTACCAATTAATTAAGATGCTGCATGTGATTGGTACTAAAAAAGACTACAAGTGACATGCTTTTTTGTAACTTGTAGCTTTGTAACCTTCTATCAGAGTGTGACTATTTTGCTAATAGATCTCTTACTATAGATTCATTCTTTTGATGATAAAGAATTATTAGTGTAGCTTGACTGATATTTTCAAGAGATTAAATACTAAGTATTAGGGAGAATGATCATGACACACTGATACAATTATAACTTGCATCAACAAAAAAAACTTAGCATAATTAGTACCGCTTGCATAACTATTCTACATTCATAAACTTGTTAATAGCTTTGCTACATGCAATTCATTCGTATGTTTATTCCTTAACTGGATCACAGTTTAATGCCTCATTGCTGCTGCTATTGTGATATTTAACCAGAAGACTGGTACTTAATTCCCTTCATTAAAATATTATCCATGGTTGGATATGCTTCATGGTTTGGGAAACTGTGATTTGACACCAACATGATTTGGGAAACCATGCAAGAGGAAAGGCATTGGAAAAGATCATGTCAGCTTATATCTTCGACTGTTTCAATTTGTATAATTTCACCTGAACAGTATTCAGAAAAATGAAAGAAAAATATCCTCACAAATTTGCTATCTCCCCTAGTAAAAATTAGATTCCATCTATACCTCAAACCCCATGTAGGATTTATGTACAAACAGACGAAGGAGGGGAAAAAAATAAGTGAAATTTAAAGGGGACCTTGGACAGCTTTTAGTGACCAAGTTTATACCCACTGATCCCTACTAATCATGCATAGTTAAGCTAAGCTATGTACTCATTCACCTTTTGGCTTTAATCTGTGTTGTTGTTTGGATCTGAGGTGACGATTGTGATCCACCACTGAGTGCAGCAGCAGCAGACTCAACATGTGTAAGAAGATATTCATATATTTTCTTCCTCAACCGGTCAATTGTCTCTGCTGATATCTGGCATGATTCTCCCTCATCCTTGCTTGAAACAATTTCATCTAACCAGTCATTAACACTCTTCAATTGAGTGAGCATACCTGCTATTTGGTCATTACCTGACAAGTTAGTGTCCCCATCACTGTCTAAAAACCTCTCAACAAAACCCAAAAACCAGTCCCGGGATTGTAAATGCAAAGTTTCGACCAAATTAACCACCTCATTGAGGCCATTTCCTCTAACCCATTCAGGAGGTGGTTGTGGTTGGACTAGCTGCTTCTGCCCATTTAATAACCCATCACCTGGTTTGCGTAGAGTTCCTTGTGAGGCATGCTTAGAATTAGATGTCAGACGGGTCTTTGCATGAACTTTTGATGAAGCATCTTCACTTGAATTGTGTAGAACTAACATGGGTTGATTTCCCACAACAGTCTTTTGGTTTTGAGAGCTGCTTGAAGCTGGAGGCCTCGATGTTTGAGTTTCTCTTGTAAAAACAGCAAAGGATGACAGATTGGTGGTCAAGGCTGCCTGGACCCAGGAAACCGCTTGTTTTTGTCTATCTGATTTTACTTTTAGTATGTCTTCCGCTGTACCCTTGTCATAATCTGGAGATGAACAATCTGGGATGTGTTTTGTTAAGGATTCAGCTATTGTCCGGGTACTATTCAAGCTAGCATGAAGAGTTAAAAACTGCTCTACTGCTGGCTGTGGGTTATGTTCCTTAGCAGAATTCGTTAGCTCTGAATATGTTCTGCCAGAAACATCAGAAACAAACGTCAGCAAAAACTTGGTATGTGGCATGGAATTAGAACATTTTGACATTATAGCCCCTCATATGGATTAAATATGTTTATGGATAAACCTGAAGTCCTCTATATATTCAGCATCTCACCATGGTAAATGAAAAAGTTATCACTAAAAATGTGAAAGATGTACATGATATGTCTATCAAACTTATCCCTTAAATCAAGCAACAGACCAGTTTTGATAGCATTTGACATGGATAGCATTCGTACACACTTTGTTTCCTTTTTGTCTAAAAAAATTCAAAAGTGTCCAAGAAGTCTCTGCCTTGATTACACATAATAATTAGAGGGTAAATTACAGGTATTCTGAATGTGATTTGGAGTTTTTAGCTTTGGCTGATTTTTTATTTTAAAAATGTCACATTCTCCACATGTTTCTCCTTTCTCCAAGTCAGTTCAAATACCCTTCACTTACCCTCCTATTACACTTCACCCTTAAATGTAAATGTTCAGGTATGAATATATTCGCACCTTAGACATTGCAGTAAACTCTCTGCAGCAGCAGCCTCTTGCATAGCCTCAGTCGCTGCTATCTGTGCTGCATCTCTCTGCATCATTACTTCCTGTAACAAATGTGAACATAGAAAAAGAATGAAACAATATAGTTAGTTTTGCTTTTGCACACCCGTTTATAAAAAGAAACAATATGGTTAAGAATTTATAATCTGAGCAGAAGTTAAAGTAAGGTCATATAATATTCTGAATAATGTGTCCAGTGAGTAGGGATATATATTTGGAACAATCACATGATCCAACTTCATACCTTCAGAACACTTATTCTATGGTATACATTATACTTATTTGAGTTGTTTTTACATATCTCACGAGACAATATTTTTAAAACACCTCTGCCTTCCTTTCTCTTTTCTATTGCAATTCAGTGGACAGTATATGCTTTGACAGCCAAGAACCAAAGAAGTACAATGTGAACGTAAAGGAGTTCTTAATTGATATACCTTTCCAAGCTTTGAAATAGATGATGGGAGTGAAGCCCATTGAACAGTCGCATCTGTCACTTTTCTATTACTTAGAGAAACTTTGACCAAATTTCCAGGGAGGTTAGAAACTTCTGCTTTCTTTCCGGTGGAAGTTCTTTGCTTGCTTGACTTTTCTGGTTCTGCTGTAGTTCCATTAGCATTAGCCTTCTTTGCAGACGTTTGAGTCTTGAGTTGTTCCTTAGAGGGTTTTGTTGGTGCTTGAATCTTCTCCTCCTCTTTAGACGGCCCATTTCTGATTGAAATGCTTCTTCTCCTAGGAGTCTGGTAGGACAAAAAATTAAGGGAAAAGGTATATGTAGTTGTTTAATTAACTCAATCCATGGAGGTAATGAAATCCAAATCTCTGATACTGACTAAACTTAATAGCAGATTATTCTGCATAAAATTTCAAAAGGAAAACAATAAAAAAGAACAATTACTCCAACAAGCCTATGCATATAACATTAAGAGTTTCTGAAAAGAAGAAATGGCAACTCACACTTAGTTCAGGCTTAGGATCAAACTTGGTTGCAAACTTGGTTTTGGAGGACTCTCTAGTCTTAACCTCAATACTCCCTTCCCAGCTCTTCCGCAGAGCCTTAGTCCCCAGCTCAATTCCCTGCACCAAATTTCTAACCGGATTCGCAATTTTCTTTCCAGCAGGACCACTGGGCCCACGAACCAACTTTCCCGTCTCCACCACTCCCACCTTAGCCCCAACCTTAGTCTGGTGTTGCCTGACCCCATTGGCAAATTTCTCAAATGAGGTCGGCAAGGAGTAGCAACTACTCGGTGACGAAGGAATGGACCGCGAATTGGTAGACCTCAATCTAGTCAAAGACTCCCTCTTCACCTCAATCTTGAGTGGAGGCTTCACTGGCTGAGGCTGAGATTTGCCCCTAGCAAACACAGCACTAATCTTGCTGGATTGTACTTCCTCCTTACCACTCACAACACCACCATTTGATCTCACTCTCTCTTTCTTCTCCTTCTCTCCAACCGCACCGCTATAAGCTTTCCTCGGAGACTTCGATCTATCCATGTCAGAAACACCAGAAGAAACCCCATTGTTGTCCTTATCATTGTCAAGGAAAGCAAGGGAATGAGTCGCAACAATATCCTCAGGGGTTCCAACACAAGGGTGTCTCCCAGGAACAGGCCTAACCCCTCTCAGAATGGGGACGGGAGAAGCACCCTCCAAACGATCAACAAACACAAACTGACCCAACTGAATCTTATCACTGAGAATGAGATCATCATGTTCATCAGGGAGAGAAACATAAGTAGCATGAGATGAATCAGAGACTTTGAGGTAAAAACCTTGATTTGGGAAAAGTTCGCCCCCTGCAAGTGCCGGAACAATGCTCACAACCTGCAACAGCGAAGACCTGTGCTCACCACCGACCTTCACATCCGTGTTCATGTGCTGCAGAAGCTTCAGAAGCACCCCCGGTACCAGATTCGCCATTGTTTCCTCCACCACCCTCAATATGCATCCCCAACAAGAACAAACCCCTCTTCTTTCTCTCTCGATTCAAACAAACTCAGGCCACAAAACTACAAACTATATAACCCAGGGAATTGATTTTCTTTGAACAAATATAGCCTAATTCATAGGTTAACCAAAAAGGACAGAGAGCTTTCAGATTAAGAAAAAAATCCGATTTCCATAGGCCAGTTTAGGCAGCAAATTTTAGAACAAAAAACAAGGAATAGGACAGTATCCACTAAACAGGAACATAATTAATATCGAATAACCAATAGAAAAAAAAATACAAAATAAAGGAAAGGAATTTGTTTGTTGTACTATACCGCTACAGGTAGGTGTACAGAACATAACATTACAAACAACCTGCGCCAAATATTTGGTGAAATACCAGAAATTATTTGGTGGGTTGGTACGGTTGTGTTCGGATGAGGAAAATAAAATTAAGATGGACTGAAATGAATATTTTTTTCAAATGGGAAAGATAAAGGGTGTGAAAAGTTGCGAGAAAAGAGTGCAGAGAAGAGAAGAGTATAATTGGCGGCAGGGTTATTGCATTGCATGATTGATACGCAAAGAGGTGTCAGCATCTGACAAACACATCTCCATACACATGCTCTTCAAATCACACAATACGCTCTTCACCTGACCCACTAGTTTGCTTTGTTGTTTTTTGGTTGGATCGAATTCAAGAGCTTCTGTTGCAGAGGCACCATTCCAAATGTTCTAACTGGTTCTATCAGAGACAAAAGGGTACTCTTCTTGCTATCTAGCAAGCCTCTAAATTTGTGATTCCCTTTTCTTTTCTTTTACCATGGTTTGGTTTCTTTCTAATTATCTGAAAAACTAAGAAAGAAATGTTTTTTTTTTAATTGTGGAATGATTAAGGTTTAATTTTGCATAGAAAATTGATGCGTGTGGGATGAGCTTTCGTCTTAGGAACAAGGTAAATGGGTTGTCGGCTACCAACATAACACGCATTACAACACTCTATTAATGCTAATACACATTTTTTTATTATTATTTAATAATGTTTTTATTGTTATTAATGATAACCTTGCATGCCTTATCTTTATATTTGTGACTCGAATACGAAAACATTTTATCTTTTCGAGCCTTCCTTCTATATAAAACAATTTCGAATTTAATAAATTGTTTTAATTTCAAAATATAATTTAGTAAAAAAATATATGGAAGTAATTAGGCCTTCTTTTCATGGTTAATGAATTTATTTGGTGATTGGTGACGTAGTTGAGTTACTGTCATAGGAAATAATAACAACAAATAAAGTAAATTTAATCTTTTTCCTAAATATTGATTTGTTTCTACAATTTTCTTTTAATAATGCAGATTTGAAAATTGGAATTTTAATTAAGTTAGTAATTGTTTAGATTTTAACAAATTTGGATGGAACAAACTGTTCTAACATCGAATTTTATTATACTTTATTTGTATAATTAATTTGTGAGTTGATAAGGATGAATTTTCTATCTGCATATTTGGAAAAATAAATTACATGATAGTATTGAATTTGTAGATATTTCAAATTTTTTTATATAAATGTTAATAACAATTTTCTAACATTGTGTATTTAAAATGGATTAATTGATACTTTACCTAAATTGGAAAAAAAACATTTTCAAATAAATAACTAAATGGGGTAAATAGTAAGAATAAATTATTTATTTATAATTAAATACAAATAACTTTTACACCTTTTTCATACTATTGTTTTTGTGTTTGATAATTATTAAATGCAAATATATTTTATACAATTTTCATATTATTGTACTTTGTATCTATAATTAGCATTTTATTGAAGAACTACATATCTTAAGTAGATCTTTGCATATTCATGAATTTTTTTTAGAGTTTATGATTTTTTAGAAACTGTCGCTAGCTATGTACATTCCTGTGACATTATCACCCAACACGTGAATGACATTATATCCAACAGTTGACAAAGAATCCAGCAATTAATTAGTAATTAAGGTGAAATATTAAGGATATAATTTCTTCATTACAAACCTAAAAATAACTATAATACATTTGACAGAAGAATATTTGGAAAGAAGAGTGATTTGTTTGTTAAAAGAGCATATTCTAATTATTATACTTATGCATGTATAGTTGATATTATTATAACATATATTAAAACTATACATTTTTTTATTATTTGAACATATGACGTCTACTTTTTACATTTCATTAGTTTATATTAGTCTAATATTTGATAATTGTTATTGGAGTTGAATATCAGCATGTTGGAAATTTTTTATTCTGATTTAACAATAAGAGAAAAAACATCCATCCACATGATTCAGGAATTCAGAAACACCATTAAAAAAAATTTATCTATTAAAATTATGATGCAATTATATATATATATATATATATATATATATATATATATTTTCATACTAATGAGATTTTCACTTGTTTTCTGTAGTTCTTCAATGTGTAATGCGCTCTGAAAAAATATAATAAATATTTAATTATTTTATTAATGTTGTAAAATGATATTTAACATGAAATGATTTTTATCTGTTAAAATATCAAATAAAACTAGGCAGGACAAATATACATTTTAAGTTATTTAGCTCAAAACACACCTTATACTCTAAAATGATAAACGTGTCAATAAGAAACTTAAAAATATATGTATAGAGAGAGGATTAAAATAATAAATAGTATAATGTATAATAAATATAATGATTTTTTATAATATAACGTTTTATAATTTTATACATTCAATAATAATATTCAAACTTTTGTTTAGTTTATTAATAACACTTTTCACTTTTATTTTAGTTACACCTCTCATGTTACTGAGTAAAAATAAAATAAAAATTAAAATATTTAAAAATTTATAATTAATTATTTTAATATAAAAATATATACGTTGAAAGTATGTACTCAAATATAAGATTTTTTCAATAAATTTAAGAAATATCACATTTTATTAAAATCATATCCACATGCATTCAAATCATATTGCATATTTTTTTTCTTATGCCCAAAAGAGAATATAAAAGTTAAAAGAATTATTTGAAAATGAAAAAAATATTTTCATAAATAAATGGGAATTAATTAAAATATAAAAATGTCATAGAAACAAACAGTAATAAATATATACGTATTTATAACCTTTTATTGTATTTTTTTTTTCTTTTCTTTATGGTAAGACAGAAGCAGAAAACACTATCAGCGTCAATGGAGTCCCACAACAGCATTATCGTGGGCAATAATTTGCCATCATATATCAACAACGTCTCAAATAAGAGAATTTTTGTCTCATTCATTGTTCGGATCAATAAAGTTCGTATTTCTTTGGTAGAGTAAGGGAATTTGATTTCAATATAAGACGTTATATAAAAAGGTATATAAGCTGGTTAGGCAATTTTGTCATATATTATCAATTTCATGTATACATATTGGAAATATTTTTTTTTCTGATGGAAATTACTTTAAAAAGTATTGTCTGCAGTGATTTTTAACTCAAAGGATCAAAATTGTAACATTAATAATTAAATTTACAAATTTAAAATCTAGTGAATATAGAATGATATGAGTAATTTAAATTTTATATCTAAAAATGTAAGAATCTACCGAATTATATTTTAAAAGTAACAGTGTGTTTAAAATAAATAAAAAGACTCGATCATTTAATATTAAAAAAAATTATAAATGAGTTTTATTATTTTAAAATATTTTACTTTTTTATAAATTACTTTTGTAGAAATTATTTATCTTTTATTTGTTTGTTTTTAAATATTATAAATTGGTATAATGATCTTCTCGACAAGTTCTTTTTTTTTATTGATCAGTTTTTTCCATTTTATGTTTTTCTTCTTTTGGTCAAATTTATTTTATTGTTTGCATATAATTTTCTTTTGGTTGTATGTGTTATTTGAATACTTTATTCGAGTCTTTGTTGATTAAGGATCATAATGGTATCTTCTGATCATTATTGTGATATTTTTATGTTTAGGTAAAACATCTTGCAAAGTTAGAGACATTTTGGTATTTTTTAGAATTGTTTGAGTTGTATTACAGGTAAGGGAAGTTGATTATACTTGTTTTAAGTTAAATTGCTCTGTGGATTATATGTATGTGTTTATGTATATGTATGTAGAAGTGTGATTTGAGATGATATGAAATTTACTTAATTTGTTATAGATATGTGTTACATGTATGTACTGTTATATGTTGAAATAATGTGTTTTTTTTGTCCATGGGTTGTAATGTCTTGGTGGAGTTTTTTAATTAAGTGATTAAAACTTTATTAAGTGGAGATTAACTTAAGAGGAGTCTAATTATTCAATCAAAGTTCAGAATGAGAAATTTTGTGCATTGATACATCGTTGAGCACCATTGATAGTGTTCCGCAACATTTAAACAATGGGTTCTCTAACTTCTGTTGTTAGGCGATGAGTTTTCTAATTGGGTGACACTAAAGTCATAAAGCTCGTCAACTTGATGTCGTTAGGCGTCACTTAAGATCGTTGGATACTATAAATTCGAATTAAATCCTAGGAGTTGCAGGATCTCTCTCATTAGAGACGTCGGGTAAAAACTAACATCGTCGCATAGTCGGCATTGGACGAAATTCTTCTAAGAGCACTTATGTTAAAATTTTATTAGGCAAGGATTTTTGGCACTGGGTGTAAATCAGACTATTACATTTTCTTGTTTTAAATAGAATGATGAAATTAATGATAACTATGTATATTAGTATGATAAAGTTGATGGTTATAATTGATCTTGAATGTGATAATGGTTAACAAGGATAAAGTAAGTATGAATTGGAAGGATAAAGTAAGTATGAATTGGTTTGAAGAAATGAATTCCATGGAAAAAATTCCATTTGTTGTGTGTTATTTTAGTGTATACATTTATATATGAATTTAAGCAAAGAGTTATTTCTTGACCCAAAAGAAAAGGAGAATTAATTTTGTATATGATAGGATAAAACTTATTGAGAATATATTTGCATAGTAATACAGACCACCATAGATACAAGTTTTCAATGAATTCAGTATCAATTAATGTATCCGAATAATTGATAAATACTTAACTTAGAATATACATTTTTAACTCTTGATTCCTTCTTATACAAGTTAAGATTGAATAATATAAGCAATTGCTTACTTCAAAGTGTCTTCTCCCTTTATCTTCTATCTTGCGTTTACTACAATTACACACTTTCATTTTTTTAAAGTAGCATGCTTTATCGATTTTAATTATATTTTGATGTTCTACCAAAACAATATGTAAATTTAATTTTCATATATTGTGTTCCTGAAATATATATATATATATATATATATATATATATATATATATATTTCTGAAGCATTTATTTCCGAACTCTGAGAGAAGAAGAATATCTGGTAAGATATGATAGTTTCCTAATAGAGTTAATAGAATAACTATAAGTTCAACCATTGAGTTGGCTCTCGTAAAGCCTTTCAACAATTAATTGCGGACAGAAAAATTGTCTATGAATAATTTAGAAGCATGGCTTTTGTTTAATTTGATCTTAGCAAAGCTAATGAACAAATATATTATTATAGCTGAGTTTGAGTTTCTTTTTCTTTTTAAGAGTGATGGTTTCAATAATTTTTTCTATATCAATTGACATAAATATTAGTATAAATAATATTTGATTTTTTTAAATAAGATACGATAGTATTTCCTTATTTTCGTATTTGTTTTTATTTCTGTTTTATGTTAATTTTATTAGGTAATATAAAATAACTTATATTTTTTTCATTATTTTTTATTTCTTTTTGTTTTGTTTTGTTTTTTAATTTTTATTTTATTGCAAAAGTTTCCATTTCATTTACCTCAACTATAGACTGATTTCATA